TCGTGAATATTGGTGCCCCATAGATCTCCAGTTAACTTCTAGGAAGTCGGTTCAGATTAGCGATATACCAATTTTACGAAAAATTAGTACTATGGTTACTGGCGAGCAGTGTATAGCCCTGAAGTCAACTCCACTTGTCAACGAGTGTATCTTTGGTATATCTCTCGCTTCTGTACATTTCAGAATACTCAATAATTATTGAGAAGAAACGACTTATACGAGGGTAATTCCATAAGAAATAGATTTGATTTATCATTCTAGGTAGTAAATAGGAGTATCCGATTTGTATGAAACATTTGAATTCTGACCTAGATTTCTCTGGTGAAATATTGGTAATAATTTCAGGACACTCGGTAGGTACATGCTATTGTATTCATATTGATACACATTCCATAGTGTTACCCTACTAACATCATGCAAATTTACCCAATACCCTGTGATGTCAACACACCGGGATGAGAAAAGCAGTGTTGCCAAATGTGCTCTACGGTTATACGTAGGCAAATCTAGAATCTACTTTGTATTTCTTCATGATGGAGTCATTTGAAAGATATACAGTGTGTCCCACTTACCATGCTCACCATGGGTATCTTTTTAACGGTGAGAGATACGAGGTCGGTTAAATGACACCAAATGTGGAGTTTGTCAAGGCCAACTGAAATGTGAAAAAATATTTTGATAAAATCTATTCGTTTTTGTTTTATACGCAAAAAACAGATTTTGATCATTTTCATGTCTCCTCCGTAACTTCTTTATTCATGAAATATTCAAATAGGAATTTCACATTCTCATGGCAGTTTTTCAAAGTGATTTCGAAAAAAATTTTAAATTTATACCAACTTTTCTAGAGTTCAGTTTTTCAAATTCCATAACTCCGATTAACTTGAAATTTGGCAGGTGTTCATGATTTCGGTGACAATACAGCATTGAATTTTTGTTGAAATTAAAAAAAAATGGCTGCTCCAAGATGGCGGACAAAATTTGGTCCGATTTCATTCAAAATTGGTACTTGAGGTCGGAGATCATGATTTTTTTGTTATAATTCATAAATTCAAGATTGCGGCTTCCAAATAATATATTGTTTTTGTATAAATGACGATAACTCCGTTGTTATCAACACAAAACTATTACTGCGACTCATCATCTGTGAGAGAAAAAAAAAGTTATTTGTAACTAAGTTATAGTGCGCTATGACCTACATTTGAAAAACTGAAGTTGGTGCTGATATCTCTAATTCTAGAAGAGTTGGTATAAATTTCATATTTTTTTCGAAATCACTTTGAAAAACTGTCATGAGAATGTGAAATTCCTATTTGAATATTTTCATAAATAAAGAAGTTACGGAAGACATGAAAATGATCAAAATCTGTTTTTTGCGTATATAACAAAAACGAATAGATTTCATCAAAATATTTTTTCACATTATAGTTGGCCTTGACAAACTCCACATTTGGTGTCATTTAACCGACCTCGTATCTCTCACCGTTAAAAAGATACCCACTAATAATTCACAAACTCACAATCTATAGGAATACAAAAAATGCCTAGCCACTTTTTCGAATGAAAATAAAGGCCTGATAGTCGTTTTTGAAATTTTGACGCCTTTACAATCAATAGTAGTCCTTGAGAATCTGAAAACTTCAGATTTCTTCACAAGAGAGTTCGTTGATTACTATACAGGGTGTTTCATAATATATGCGCAGGACTCCATGGTCTCATAGCTCGTCCAAAAATATGAAAAAATCATTTTCGAGATACAGGGTATTGAAATTTGAAAAAAAAAACGTTTCTTGTGAATATCTCTGGAACCGTTTATCGCACAAAGAGCAACGTTCGTTAGTAATTTCTACTCATAATAAGCTATGTTGTGGGCGGAATTTTTTTAAAAGTCATAATTGGTGAAGATTCTGCAGGGTAAAAGTGGATAGTTTTCTCCCCTACTGCTACGCCACTGAAAAAAGTACAGTTTTGAGCCATCCATTCCAAAGGCCAATGTTTTCTACACATAAAAGATACTCGTGGTCATGACCTCTCAAGTTGTCCGTTTTTGAGAAAAATCAACTTTCATGTTGAAAATCATGGTAAATTTTTGGAAACATTTCTTTTTACCAATCAAACAATAGTTATTCATTATACAAAGGAAAAAAGTAGTAGATTTTAGCTCCAGGTTGTGTTGTCTCCCGACGCGTAGCGGAGGTATGGTTACTCCTGACAAGCTTATGTTGGGCACAGTATGAGATCGGCTTTACTTGAGAAAAGGCATGCTTGTATTTTGTTTGCATTGAAATCTACCAAGTTATTGGATCCCCATTCGAGAATTGTTGCCAAGTCCATATTTATGTTGTCAAAATTTCTCCCTCGTTCGTTTCTGATTTACCTGGCTGCCATTGGAGCCATGGAAGAGAAGGCGGTATAGGGTACTATCATCTGCGAAGCTGTGTACTGGACATGAAGTTGCTTCCAACAAATCGTTGATATGGAGTAGAAATAGTGTTGGTGCTAGAATTGATCCTTGCGGAACACCAGCATTTATAATAAGAGAGTCAGATGAAACTCCGTCGACCACTACATGGAGAGACCTGTTTGAGAGAAAACTAGCTAGCAGAGAACATAGCTGGGGAGGCAAGCCATAAGATGGAAGCTTGGCGAGGGGTCCGTGGTGCCAGACTCGATCGAATGCCTTGGAGACATCAAGTGCCCGACTGAGGTTTCACCATATTTTTCAATAGATTGCTGCCATATATGTGAGACGTAAGCGAGCAGGTCACCAGTGGATCTCTGATGACGGAAGCCATATTGCCTATCGTTGATAATAACTGAATGTTCCAGGTATTTCATGAGCTCGATGTTGATAGCTATCTCTATGATCTTTGAAATAATGGATAGCAGTGCGGTCGGTCTGTAGTTGCTAGGTAGATTCTTTTTGCCTTTTTTAGGAACTGGTTGTACTCTTGCAATCTTCCAGTTGGACGGGAATATCCCCAATTTGTAAGAGTAGTTGAACAACTTGCAGAGAACAGGTGTTAGTTCAGGAACACATTTCTTGGAAACTATGGGTGGGATTCCGTCGGAGCCATAAGCTTTGTTGGTGTTGAGACCCAATAAAATCTTCCTCATAGTACGTTGGCGAAAGGTAAATCTCGGGCATATGACTGTCAATTGGCGTTATGTTTGAGGGATGTTTTCCCGATGAATCCAGAGTGGAATTTCCAGCGAATAAATGCGCAAAAATGTTGGCTTTCTCCTGGGCAAATGTGCTAGTGTTCCATCTTCCTTGCTTAGAGGAGGAAACAAGCTGGAAGTGAAGTTTCTTCCTACAGCTTTGGCGAAGGACCAACATGAATGGGACCCGTTAGGACATTCTACAAGTTTTGATCTTATATTGGGTGGATAAGGATGATTCTCAAATTTGAAAAAAAAATTCAGGTCACCATCTCTATTCTGTGACACAACGTAAAGTCTATACTGAATAAAGTAACATCTGATTTTAATTCTTTCACTTTACTTGAGTTATTCTGCTTATTTTTTCATTTTTGAAGGGAATGTTATTATTTTTAGTGATTGGTTCAGAAATTGATTTTTTCGAGTGTATCAACCTATCATGGAAAAATGTTCTGCATTGATGGACGCCTTTATCTAATAACAGTCTCAAACATTCGTCATTCACGACAATTCTACTATCTAGAGCGAATAATTCAGTTGAGGTTTCCTGGAACGGATTACCTTATGTTTTGAAGGTATCTGATCCCAATGAAGATGGACATTAGAAGAAGAAAAATGGATACCACTCTGGACAACTATCAAGAACGGAAGATTGGAAACAGATATAATGATCAAATGCCAATGTAAAATTTGTGATCATAAATGCAAATGTTTCCTGAGGAAATTAAAATGTACACAATTATGTACCTGTAAGGAATGCTGCAATTAGCGCTGTAGTACCTGATTTTATATTTGTTTAATTTTATTTTCAGAGTTGATGAGTTAATTTTTATGTTCTCAGATTGTTTTATGTAGTTTTCGGAGTTGATGAGTCAATTTCAATGCTTTTAGATTGTTTTTATTACAATAAAAATGTTTAAATTGTTGTACCTTTATTGTTAGTATTTCCACATTCCTTCTTGAATCCAAGTAGTATCCTACATAATTATTAGTCTGTGTGATGAGTAAATCAACTTCTTCCTCTCACGTCATATAGTAAAATGTAAATTTCTCACGTTGCATGCAAAAACGGTAGGTAGGTAGGTATTTTTTATCATTTTTCACACATTATTCTACCAAACGCGCATGTGTTCGTACGCCACTGGATGCCTTCTTTACATGGATATCTCCAACTTTATATATTACGTTCGATAGAAAAAACTGCAAGCTTCATTTTTTCTCTCGTCAAATTTTTCGATTCTTTGGGCCGTTTAATAGTTATGAGCAAAAACATGGCAGCCTAGAAATCCCTCCTCCTATATATTTTTTATTGGGAGCTGACATTGAGATTTTTGATCAATCAAAAAATATCTATCAGATGTACAATTCAATTCTCTTTCGAATGGCGTAAATCACAAATCTCTATCTCTTACCGTTTTTGAGAAAATAATATTTATATGCAACTGTGCGCACCACCCCTTCGAGAAGGGGGTGGGGGTGTCTTCGCGGGTTTCAGGGGTGGGTCTGCCCCTGAATCTCTTCATTTCTATTTACTCTATGCCTGTTCAGAAGGATTTGCTTTTACTCAGAAGGGAAAGTATCTGACCATTTTTGGGCTCGTAGGCACTATACTATTATAAGCATCCTTTGATGATCGAATTGTCCCAGTTGAGGAAATCGAAAGTAATGATTATTCAAATTTGATCGAAAAAATGCGATTTTACGGTACATGTGTTGAGCAGTTTATTAGGAACGCACTTCTTCTCATGGTTTGGCGATTCTAAGTTATTTTTTTCATATTCTGTGAAAAAACTGTCATGTCTTGGGAAAAAATGTTAGAACTGGAAACAGCGGAAAACGGGATCCGGCAACTGCGCATGCGTCGCGACCCCTTGTCCCTCAGGACGTCCGTCGACGTCGTCACGCTACCTGACGTCGGGACGCCCGCGATGAGCTCTTGTTTCGCCGTTTTCCAGAAGCTATTGTAGTAGCATCGTGATAGCCCTTTTGTACGTTTCATTTGAAAGTGTGAGTATTTTCTAGGACTCAGTGGAGATTATTAATTTCTGGTGAGATGTGATGTTTTCGTTAAGGTGATGTGTTTTTCGTGGAGAAGATATTGATCCAACTCAGATCCAAGTGATCCTAGAAGGGGAGAATTTTCGCCTTATTGCGATTCATGCTCGGATTTAGAGTAGAAAATAAGTGGGATGGCAAGGCATTCTGTATAGTTGATTTTTGAAAACGATATTAGTAAGTGGAACAACACTTTTGGATTTTGTTGATTAGGTCTTGTTCAAAGAGGGATATAGGAGAAAAATAAGTCATTTAATTTTATTTTTATGTTCTGGTTCCCACGAGAAGGGATATCATATAATGTTCAGAGAACATCGTGAGAACCAAGGGAAATGGGGTAGGAATTGGTGTACTTCTTGATTTCTGGAGGTTATATGCCTCGGGAAACACCTTCCTTGGCAATGTGTTCCAGAGCCTCGCTGTTCGTTGGATGAACGAGTATTTGGAAAGAGATGTTCTGCAAGTCTCCAAAGTGACCACGAAGGGGTGCGAAGCCTTAACTCGATAGGTTAATCTCGCGGAGACTGCCAAAGGAGGAACAATTGTTGATATTTCAGGAGATCATCGTCAATGAAAATATCTATAAAATAGAGCCAGATCGCCAACTTTCCTACGGTGTTCCATAGAAGTGAGTGAGCTTGTGAGCGAGGCATCACTCACGAGACGAATTGCCCTTTTTTGGACAGAATCTAACAGTTTCAGGGTATATTTGGGTGCTGCACTTCAAATATGGGAACAGTATTCCAGGACAGGTCGGATATGTGCCTCATAGATCATAAGCAGCTGACTGGAAATGAAATAGCTCCTGGCCCGAGACAGAAAACCAAGTTTTTGAAATGCACTTCTCACGTGATTTTGTACGTTTCATTTGAAAGTGTGAGTATTTTCTAGGACTCAGTGGAGATTATTAATTTCTGGTGAGATGTGATGTTTTCGTTAAGGTGATGTGTTTTTTGTGGAGAAAATATTGATCCAACTCAGATCCAAGTGATCCTAGAAGGGGAGAATTTTCGCCTTATTGCGATTCAGGCTCGGAGTTAGGGTAGAAAATAAGTGGGATGGCAAGGCATTTTGTATAGTTGATTTTTGAAAACGATATTAGTAGGTGGAACAACACTTTTGACTTTTGTTGATTATGTCTTGTTTGAAGAGACATCAATGAAATTGAAATAGGCATATAGGGAAAAAATAAGTCATTTATATATATATTTTTTTATGTTCTGGTTCCCACGAGAAGGGATATCCTGTAATGTTCAGAGAACATCGTGAGAACCAAGGGAAATAAGGTAGGAATTGGTGTTCTTCTTGAATTTCTGGAGGTTATATACCTCGGGGAACACCTCCCTTGGCAATGTGTTCCAGAACCTCGCTGTTCGTTGGATGAACGAGTCCTTCGAAAGAGATGTTCTGCAGGTCGCCAAAGTGACCACGAAGGAATGCGAAGACTCAACTCGACTGGTTAATCTCGCGGGGACTGCCAAAGGAATGCACAGTTGTTGATATTTCAGAATATCATCGTCCATGAAATTATCTATAAAATAGAGCCAGATCGCCAACTTTTCTACGGTGTTCCAGAGAAAAGAGTGAGTTTGTGAGCGAGGCATCACCCACGAGACGAATTGCCCTTATTTGGAAAGAATCCAACAGTTTCAGGGTATTTTTGGGTGCTGCACTCCAAATATGGGAACAGTATTCCAGGACAGGTCGGATCTGTGCCTTATAGATCATGAGCAGCTGACTGGAAGTGAAATAGCTCCTGGCCCAAAACAGAAAACCAAGTTATTGGGATGCAGTTTTAGCAATTGATCTCACGTGATTTTTCCAAGAAAGGTTATTGCTGATAGTAATACCAAGCATCGAAATGAATGTCTTCAAAGGTATGGTTACTACCAGAACAGCGAATGCCTATTGAAAGAATGATGAGGAATTGCATATATACCACATGTTGAGGCTTCTTAATCGAATATTAATTATTATCAGAGAACTCCCAACTCTCCAACGGTTGTTATCTACTTCATTGTTTCATTTTCATCAATGTACAGGGTCTTCACGTATATTTTGAACACCCACTTAACTTGTTCATGTATTGTTTAATTTTTTTTTTCAAGGAACGTGTTTTTTCTGTATATTCCATATATGCCAACAGAAAAAACAGTTGAACATCGCAAAAAAAACTTATAGGCTACATTTAGAATTTTTTCAACAGGATACCCTGTATTTCATTGCATTTTCAGTTTCTCCTTGGAGAGCTGAATTCATCGATCTATCACAGTTTGGATCTAGCTGAAATGATTACAGAGATATAGGGTGTGAAAAATTGAGATTTTTTCAACTTTAGGAATTTTTTGTGTCGAAACTAATCATTATTGGCCAAAACGGTTTTCATATCTCAAGAAAAATATTAAATCCCGCTTTTTATGAAATCTCAGTTGTTAATGATGCGATTTTCTCGAAACTGTGATGGTGATTGTATGTTATTTCTTCACAATCAAAATTTTAAGGAAATCGCATCGTTGATAACTGAGATTTAAGGATGTTGTCATGAAAAGCGGGATTTTGAAATATTTTATTTTAGCTCTTGGGATCTTGAAGATATGTATTAGGGGGTTATTGGTGATGCTTTTCATGAATCTGATAAAAAAAGTTATTTGGAATGAGTCCTAAAATCCTTTTCCCGAATAAATTCCTTTTTTGTTCCCCTCAACATCGCACACCAATGGTGAATGAAACTGATCATTCTGCTAAATACTTCCTTATTCTATCATACAATCACTTCAAAAATTTCATGAGAATCGCACCATGAATTAGGTACCTGCTGGGTACTATCTGATATTTTTACCCAGCTTGTTATTCAGAAAGAAAATGTTAGCTGATGACGAGGCTGACTTGGAGTCAAATTCAACAACCTTCCGGAGATGAAACTCTGCATCTTTTGCTTTATGCTATTCTTGTACACCCCTCTGCCTGTGGAGGCGCAGCGATTGGTACCACCCAAGAAGTACCACTCAGACGACGACGATGACGATCGCAATGACTACAACGAAGATGGTGAAGAAGATGAGGTACTGCGACACAATGCAACTGCAGGTAATACACGGAGCTTGAAAACAGTTTAGATAGATACTGGTCGAGTTAAAAATGATCCAGATAGACTCAGCTCGGGTTAAAAACAATTTAGAAAAGTGGTAATCTAAATCCCTAGGGATTCAAAGTAAACTTCTTTGCAATAAAAGCTGAATTTAGAAGCTTTTATCATCGAGGTAAAACTGCATTTAGCATGCGATGGTTTTTTTTTCGAAAATTTTTTTTGGTACTTACGTATTTTTGTCTGAAAAACACGAATTTGATAATGAAAATGTGAACAAATCATTATTTATCAAGATATTTCACTATAAAGTTTCAAATTTCACCTTCTTTTCCGCCTGTCTTCTGGATTGAATTTTAAACAATTCACCCTTCTTTTTTCATCATTGGACAATTTATATATATCACAATGTAAGACACATTTTTTTCTATTATTGAGTCAACTAGAAATATGATTTTCTTGTGATTTATCCATATTTATTGAAAAGAAGGAAGAATATCATTTGAAATAATGGCGTGTGTAATGTCATTCCAAAGCAATCTATTGACATTTGACATCTGGTATTTGGATAAAATGGCCGTCATCTGGTATGCTTGCTCACTAAGGCTATATTCCGAATTCAACTGGTCAGTACTGTAAGTTGATCCACTGACTCTGCTGAAAATCTGCGTTCCGAAATATAAAATCAAAAATTCACTACTGTAATTCGGGACACGTTTTCATGGTTTTCATCAGTAGTAGTGTCTCGTTTATCTGAACTAGATGTTTAGCCTCCTACTTGTTATAAACTTTGGAAATTTAATATTCAACATGGAAGAGAAATCGATTCTTGTATCCTCTATAATAGTTTCTACGATTGTTGACGATGGCGATTCAAGCTCGAGTGATGAAGAATACTTGGACATTTTGTTGCCATAAATTTCTCATGATGTACCAGATTGAGAATTGAGATTCATGAAAATCGCAATATGCCTTAATAATGATGAATTTTAGGAGACATTCCAGGTTTATTTAGTTTATTCAGCCTTTCCTTACCTGCTCTACTACTTCATACTCCATATCCATGATATTGAGAATCATTTCATTATAACAACGGAAATGAATGTTACATTCCTTCCCCCTCTGAAATATGACAGTTCACTGAAGCCACACTACCTTTTGATACTCAGCAATTTCATCAGAATGTTGAGTCGAAATATTTGGAATGAATAGTATATCTGCTGACAAGCATCTGTCACTTCCAGTGAATTTTTTGATTTCGGAATGGAAAATCAGCAGATTCAGTACTGCCAGTTGAATTCGGAATATAGCCTTTAAATAGGAAAAACTCACCATAAAAATCATATTTCCTGTTGAATTTTCTGTATAAAAATGTGTCATTGAAGTACATCATGAGTATATAAAGTGTCCAATGACAAAATAAGAAGAGCAAGTACCTGAAAATGCATCATCCAACGCAAGGGGAAAAAGGAGTCGAAATTTCGAACTTTTTTTTGAAATATCTCGATAAATAGTGGTTTGTTCACATTTTCATTATCGAATTCGTATTTTTCAGACAAAAATACGTAAGTACCAAAAAAAATTTTCGAAAAAAAACCCATCGCATGCTAAATACAGTTTTACCATCATCGAATATACGCTCTACAATGACGATGCTTCAAAAGCTTTTTTTACTTTTCCAAAAAAAAAATGCTAGCAGTACCTACCTTTTCTTCTGTACATTTTTCTACGTTCTTTTCTTTGCACCGTTTGATAAACTCAGATAACTGTTTTTTATATTGTTCTCCAAATTTTCTATGGCATCCAGCTTCTTGCTGAGCTACCATTTCGATTTGTTCAATCGCGAACAACGTCTTTCAATCGGTGTGGCGTGTTTAACTAATATTTATTTATTTATGTTTTACTCAGTTACTTGTCATATCACACCAAGATTTTCAGTTGCCGATGACAATCATGATCTGAATCACCATAGTTACTGAGATCGTTGATATGGTAACAATCGGCCCCTTCGATGATTTTGGAAATAGAGAGACTACCGTTTAGTAGCATTTAATAGTATATTATTTAACAAGTGTTATAAACGTCCTTTCAGTAACGAGTATTTTAAGCACGAGCGGAGCAGAGCGGAGCGAGTGTTTAATAAACGAGTGTCTAGAAACGCGTTACATACTATGCTTTTTCTACGAACTCCGAAAATTACATTAACATACCTGCTATTCCTGCTAACCTACAAAATAATTCGACAGGAATGTGAATTGAGAACATAATACATGCAACTGCATGCAACCAGCGAGACACGTATAAGTGATATTGGTTGTAGATGTGTCCAGTCGTTACCATGGGTAACGGTCCAGTCCTTTGCTTACTAACCTTTGTTTCACGTTTATTGTCATGCTTAGCACAGAATAAATAAATTGTTCTCAAAGATGGATGCTACATTTTTACACTTCTTGGAGATATGCAAGTACCAGAACATTCTCTTCAATTTCACTTTCGTCTACTTATCGCATATATTTTTAAAGAAGAATTCTGATACAAACGAATATTGTTTGAATATTCTCATTTGATTCGGCATCGAAAATGAAGCTAATTTTGGTGAAGGGTATCTATGCTTACACTCAACAGTTTTCGAAATATTGGGGAATTAACATGTCTCAGTTCCAGAAAATCTCGTATTCTTGAGTTTACTTATTCTTTGTTGGCCATGCCCCCCGCAGTTTCGTTGGAAACAATCAACTGTCACGAAAATGTCATTGTGATCAATCATGCAGGCTCGTTTGAATTATTCGAATGAACTTCATTCTATTATTATTTGAAACGAATTTAGAAAATCTCACTGTTCGTGGAAAATCTGCTATTTTCAGGTTCTGAACTATGGAGAACTTATATGGGTGAAATTTATGTTTGCACAGTATTCAATGTACTGAGTTTTTGATAATCCTGATTCTCTTGCGACTTGTGCCAAAGATATTCTTGGATATGCAGCAAAATATCCCAAAATGTCAATTTCAATATCTTCATCATTAACAATTGGCTTGTTATACGACGTTATACCTATAGTGGAGTATACTACGGCCTTGCCAAAAATGCTATCTCGGAAACTAAGCGAGATAGAGGTATAGTTACTTTGGAGAAAATGATCTGTCTGTCTGTACTCTGTGGTAATCATAAATCGATATATCTCCGGAACCCTTTGACATCTTATTGTACTCAAAACAATATCATGTCATTAAGATATGAAGGAAATCGGAAAACTCTAACGTGGTTTTTCCGGGTTTTTTCGATTTTTCACCGGAAGTTTCTTGTAACCACTCTACAAATCGCAAAAGTGGTCCGATCTATTTCATTTTTTGTGAAAAAAACTCTATCAGGGAGAGACGAACCCTATTGAAATTCAGCAGGGTCGGAAAATTCCAAGTGGGTTTTTCAAGGAAATTTTCCGAAACACACGGTTCGCTTTAAAACGACATATCTCCTGAACCAATAGATTAATACCAAATTTGAAAAATGCACCGTATGCCTCTTTGATGACGCAACAAATTATTATTCCACTATTTTTTCGTGCATCCATCGGAAAATGGAAAAACAAATGGAAATCAAAACATCAAAATTTGAAATCCTTTCAATTCAATATATATCGAAAACAAATGGAAAAATCGAAAATTATCAGAAGTGCAAAGTTATCCACTGGAACATTTCCTACAAATTATTACCCATAATTTTTTCTGTAAACCCAATAGTACAGGAAATAAAGTAGAAAATATGAAAAAAAAATTTGAACGACCCATAGGGTACCATGAAGATATATTGAAAAACAAAGATTATCGATAGATGAAGCTCATCGACTTCCACTGAACCATGAAATATTTTTTCCTTCTGTTGATTGGAAGATGGAACAAAAGTGTTGAAAATTTTATTCTCAGATAATTCCAAATATCTCGAAAACAACTGAAAATATCTGAAAATGTTATGGAACCAAAATTATTCCTTTGGATAGAATCTACAAAAAATCCGTATGAATCTACAAAAAATCCGTATAACATTTTTCTCTGAATTCAATAGTTCGGGAGATACGATGAAAAATTTAAGAAATTTACAAGTTCCTAAATAATTACTTGCCAATAGAAAACAAAACTAAAAACAAAAGAAAGTAAAAAAAGCACACTCGACTGTCTTTAGTTTTTGCCAAAATATGTCGGCATTGTTTTAACTTTCTTTTGTTTTTGTTTTTTTCAGTCCCTAATTTCAGTCGAGTGGGCTAGGTATGTAGTTTGTGTGGAAAAACCAAGACAGTCGACTGGGCTAAGTACGTAGTTTGTGGGAAAAATCTCCAGTTCTCTGAACTTTCATAGCGTCGTATACACATCTTTGGTGCCCAATGATAGTTTCAATATAAAAATATGCTCATGATATGGTGCCATGGCCTCTACTTCCATCTTACATGAGCAATGATAAAATATCTGCTTTTATAGCGTCGTATAAATTATCTGACCTCTATACTAATCTAATACCTAATGAAAACTACATCTATACTAATCTGATACCTTTCAAAAACTACGTACCTCACTTGTTTCTTTGCAACCTTGCTTTGACGGATACAAAGTTTTTGACATTTTCTATAATTCGTTTAAAAGTATGTTGTGAGGGCTTCTGCTTCTGCGGATACCGAATAGCAAATATATGACATGTTCTTGAGATAACCCTATTATATTCGCGATAAATTAATAAATAGATGTAAGTAATCTTCATTCGAATAATTCAAACGAGCCTGCATGATTGATCACAATGACATTTCCGTGGCAGTTGATTGTTTCCAACGCAACTGCGGGCGCCATGGCCAACTAAGAATAAGTAAACTCAAGAATACGAGATTTTCTGGAACTGAGACATGTTAATTCGCCAATATTTCGAAAACTGTTGAGTGTAGGCATAGATAACCTCTTCCAAAGTTAGTTTCATTTTCGATGCCAAATCGAATGAGAATATAAAAGTGGGGGGTTTCCGTTTGAAAAAGTTGACTTACAATAATTTTTTCAACCGGATTTGTATCATTTTCTGGTGAACTGGTATAACTGTAATCGAATTGATATCGAAATTCTACTGAGTTGGGTCCTCTCCTACGAATAAATCGACACACAATCGAAAATGAATGATCATGCCCAGAAAAAAGAAATGTCGGTCTGCAAACGCAGTTTTCAACTTGAAATTTGAAATATTTCGAAAACGGTTAGACTTGGGTATAGGACATTATACATGGAACATGTTCAGAATCATGCATACAATCTAAAACCTTGATAATATACAGGGTGTCTCTTTTGAAATAACGAAGTTGGGGTCCATTTCCGGTATAACCGGAAGTGACACAATCATCAAAATATTTTAGCCGGATAGCACTTATCAAAAATAGTGAACTCCTATATTTTCAAATTCGGCCCAGCTATGGTTTTCTACTCAGGGTGTAAATTTGAAAACTTTCAATGCGAATATCTCGCGAAATAAAGAAGTTAGAAAAACGCCGCTTGGCAAAAATGCTAAAGAGTTAAGGGGAATTAGAACCACCATATTTCAGTGAAGGGATGAGTCACCCTGTCAGCGCAACACACCCCAACTTTGAAATGTCAAATGACACTACCTCTTTTGTGATACCTCAAATGAACGGTCTCAGTCAGTAGTATTCACCTGTACAAGACTTTTTTCTACCCACTACAGGGTGTACGAAAAACATTAATTCGAGGGTCTTAATTTGAAAACTTTCAATGCGAATATCTCGCTAAATAAAACAGTTAGGAAAACGCCGTTTGGCACAAATGCTACAGAGTTAGGGGGAACTAGAACCACCATACTTCAGTAAAGGGATGAGTCACCTCGTCGGCGCGACACACTCCATCTTTGAAATGTCAAATGGCACTACCTCTTTTGTGATACCTCAAATGAACGGTCTCAGTCAGTAGTATTCACCTGTATAAGACTTATTTTCCACCCACTACAGGGTGAACGGAAAACATACAGTCGAATAAAATAAAATGCAGAATGCCGATATATTCCAAGAGATGTGTTCCAAAATGTCAGAATGGCATTTGAACATCGATTATACTATTGTTTACAACAGAATGGAATGCATTTTGAACATCTGATCAAATAAAATATCCTTTTAACACAATTCATTTTATTTTATTCGACTTTATATTATTCGTACACCCTGTAGTGGGTGGAAAAAAAGTCTTGTACAGGTGAATACTACTGACTGAGACTGTTCATTTGAGGCATCACAGAAAAGGTAGTGCCATTTGACATTTCAAAGTTGGGGTGTGTCGCGCCGACGGGGTGACTCATCCCTTGACCGAAATATAGTGGTTCTAGTTCCTCTTTTTGCCAAACGGCGTTTTTCTAACTTTTTTCTCTCACGAGATATTCGCATTGGAAGTTTTCAAATTTACACCCTGTATATTGATCGATGCAGTTCCCAGAGGGACACCCTGTATAGGTAGACACTGCTCAATGCTCATGCTAGCAACACTAGATCGGTAGGTACACTGCTCGTTTTCAAAACACTTAAGATAGACATCGAACATGTACTGATTGACGATGGTGAAAATATGAATATTCAGCTATTTTTTCTGTTTCAGACGACAAAGGTCTGTATGTTGGCGCACCTTGCGAATTTACCTGCAGTGCCAAACTGGTCCACGCCTACTGCAATCCTGTCAGCGGTACATGTGATTGCGAAAAAAAGTATCCTGTCAAACTCAATAACCCCTACGCAGGATGCAGCAAACGTAAGGAAACACATTATTCTTCTTGGTTTTCGAATAAAAAATGGGTCATTCAGGTATATCGTGAGCATACATACACAAAGTTTATATACACAGTGTCTATGTAAGGCAGCACCGAAGTGGTTCGGATTCCACTATAAGCTGTAGGTCCCGCTCTTCCTGACCCCGCACAAGTTTCGACTTCCGGGAAGTTGGTTCCCAACTTTGAAGTAGCGATATACAAAAACGAATTTTACAAAAAAATACTGCATACTGTTTACCACTCGTCGCACAGGTCTAAACTTTTTCCGCATCTCAACATTTTTTGTCTCTGTTCATCACGTGTAAATCTAAATGATACATATATATGTATATGTATACACAAAGTATGATAATTTAAGTGGAAAACCCTATTTCAGTGATCAGAAGTTGGTAGTTGAAGTTTCAGTTCTTTCAACCAGTGCGTTTGTGAATGTTTCAGTTTATTGAGCATGGCTTGTACAGGGTGATTCACCATAAATGTCCCCCCCTCTAGCTCAGATATTTTTGAACCGATCGCAAAATTGAAGGGATCATTTGTAATGATTTTTCAATAAGTTTTTTCCGCTACATCAGAAAATACAGGTTGCTCGGAACAAACGATCTACAGGGTACTAGTTGATTTTTGAAATGGGACACCCTGTATTTCATTTCATTTTTATATTCTTCCTCAAGAGCTGATTTCATCAATGCATCACACTTGGGGTCTAATTACGGAGGTATAGGGTGTTCAAAATCGAGATTTTTCAACTTTGTGTCCAAACTATTCTATTGACATTCAATTGGAACACTACAGGGTGGTTCAATGAATAGCTTCGACATAATAAAATCCTTGAGTTGAAAAATCTCGATTTTGAACACCCTATATCTCTGTAATCATTCACGCTATACTCCTAGTGTGATACATTGATGATATAAGCTCTTCAGGGAGAATCTATTGATGCAATGAAATACAGGGTGTTTCATTTAAAAAAATCAAGTAGTACCCTGCTGTAGATTGTTCGTTCCGAAAATTATTTTAAATGATGGCTCAAATTTTGCGATTGATGAGGAATAACTGAGCTACATGAGGGGACATTTATGATGAATCACCTTTTACAAGATTCTCAAACAAGAATGTAAATACAGTTGAATCAAATCATTATTTCAAAATAAAAAATATTAAATATTGAATTATGTTGTCAGTTGTCATTCTTTAGTCAGTAACAGAAGCACCTACGATTCTGTAGTAGAAGTGGCAATCATAAAAGCATATAATGTCAATTATGTCAAAAGTCGTACGTACGGGTTACTCTGAATTAATTTAGTGTAGCTCGGTGAATATTGTTTTACATGAAGTCACAAAAAACATTTGAGGTTTCAGATTATCCGCTAGCTACCAGATGTAAAATTTAAGCACCAGATAACCTCAAAAGGTAACTAGCCGTAAATAAGCCGTTTTGGCAATACTAAATCGCTCTCAAGATTTAACTAATTTCAACTAACTATATGTTATTAGAGATGAACATATAGCAAGACAGCTTAAATATCACTTGTTCTTGTTCTTTTTTAAACCGGATTGTGACATATTATGACATATATATTAGAGTAATGTCATCAGAATTTCAGAATCATTGAAATGGCAAGTACTTCATTTAGCTCTTGGAGCAAACGGAAGGGAATCCCTATTATGTTCGAAGAACGTCGTGCGTACTTAGGGAGAATAGGCAGAGGAGGTGGTATTCTGGTTTTTGTTTTTCACTTCTGGATTAGATTATATCGAATTGATTCCCTGCTGATTGAACCTGTACAATATGCCACAACCTACTTGATTATTAATCATGTCAGGTATACACTTCTTGTAGAATTTGCAATGTTCAAAACCTATATTGCTGATGACATCTACCACATATTACTATTATATTTTACTTATAAGCTCATTAAATTTGAATCAGCCTAATGCAAAATGAATCCAGCAATTATGGCTCAATTGACATATTTCATCTTGTGATTAGACTTAATACAATATCAACCTTCTGATTATTAACCTTCGGTTATGATGAAAAAGAAGTCAAAATAATCTTTGGAACGAGAACAAAAATTCTTTCGCGTTAGGACAGATCATCAACTTTGTACAATGTCTACATAAATAGATTGATTTTCTTCACGTTTTGCTGTAAACTTCACGTCAATACGACTATCAAGGTCAAACTTTGGGAGTACTCAACGTGAAGTTCAATTAGCTACATGGCTGAACTCCAACTTTCCTGTGGCATTTCCGACACGAATCTATCGTAGAATCTATTTATGGTATTGAGTTGGAATCTACGTCTCACTATTTGGCTTTTCATCTATTCGTATGACGTCATGGGGAGAGTAGAGTGAGTTATTATCGACGGAGTTGGTAGGGGAGTTCTGACTAAAATGACATACTTGGGTGAAATGACATTTATAAGGGACTTATTTTGAATTCCGAGCTTTGCACGAAACTATTAATGTAAGTTCCTGTATTCATCTTAGTATCACTTTCTGTTTATACCTTATGGCGTCTCTCTGATATCAATGGTTGCATCGTTGTGAAAGTTCTTCAGAATGGTGAGTATATCAATTCAGATTAGATTTAATGAAAATATTATGAACACGTGTTGATGATTGATGCTAGGATAATCATTATTTTTTTTATTTTCTGGATGAATTCGAACATTTATCCTACATTCAATATAAACTATGTTATTTGTTTGGCATTTGATGCATTGGGGGAGGAATAACACACAACTCAGCATGGGAAAATGACATATTATACTTAGTATGTTTAAGTACGTCACACTTATTTGAAGTCGACAGTAACGACGACAACGATGCAGCTATCATTCTGGAAATCCAAAAGTAGAGGAAAATTGATGAATTGCATCAAATGTAAACACTGGACCCACTGCGAGTGAACCGATGTTCCAGCAGGACGTACAATCTTCATTTGTGAAATTTTTCTTTTTTTTTTCATTTTTATTATCTACAAGCATGTCATTTTACATGATTTTATAAGCCGATTTTTTTTTGTTTTTATGTTCTGGTTTCCACGAAAAGGAATATCCTGTGATGTTCAGAGAAAATCGTGAGAACCAAGGGAATTAAGATAGGAATTGGTGTTCTTCTTAAGTTTCTGGAGGTTATATGCCTCGGGGAAAACTTTCTTTGGCAATGTGTTCCAGAGCCTCGCTGTTCGTTGAAGGACAAGTCCTTGGAAAGAGATGTTCTGCAGGTCTCCAAAGTGACCACGAAGGGGTGCGTAGCCTCAACTCGACGGGTTGATTTCGCGGGACTGCCAAGGGAGGAACAATTGTTGATATTTCAGAAGAGCATCGTCCATGAAAATATCTATAAAATAGAGCCAGATCGCCAACTTTTCTACGGTGTTCCAGAGAAGTGAGCGAGTTGTGAGCGAAGCATCACCCACGAGACGAATTGCCCTTTTTCGGACAGAATCCAACAGTTTCAGGGTATGTTTGGGTGCTGCACTTCAAATATGGGAACAGTATTCCAGGACAGGTCGGATCTGTGCCTAATAGATAATAAGCAGCTGACTGGAAGTGAAATAGCTCCTGGCCCGAAACATAAAACCAAGTTTTTGCGATGCATTTTTAGCAATTGATCTCACGTGATTTTCCCAAGAAAGGTAATTGCTGATAGTAATACCAAGCACAGTGAGATCGGCTTCTCTAGAGAAAAGACATGCTTGTGTTTTGTTTGCAATGAAATCTACCAGGTGACACTTTATTTTTCATTTGGTCATAAGTTCGAAGGAAGTTCAATATGATAACATTCTTGAGATAGACATGCTTCTTGACATAATATCTGAACAATAGTGTGCAAATAGGTAGCACAAACAATTTTTCCTGCTCTCTATGAGCCAAAATGCTCAGGGCATGTCATTCTAGTCAGAACTCCCCTACACATTTTCTATGAATCAAAACATTCGAAAGGCTAATGAATTATAATGTTGTGGTACTGCAAAAAATCCGATTAATTCGCAACTTGTTAGAAAACTGCTTAGAGACCATTCCTTGTATGTGGTGCAGCCAAACGATTGGGAGACCAGTGCTACTACATGGAGGCTTGCCAGTACACTGATCAGCATTCTTCCTGTATCCAGATTCACCACAACGCCATTTGTCAGTGCCAAAATGGATACCATTCCGTTTCTATTCAGAAACCTTCGAAAAGAGTATTTTGTGCTGAAGGTAAATTGAAATTGATTTTTTCTACTAGCGTGCGCAAAGGTCCACTTCTTTGGACTCATTTTAGTGTTGAAAGAATCATTCCTCTGAGCGTCGTTCGGCCATCTGCAATCGCGAGCGGAATAGCATCACTTTCAGGCACTTGTTAGGCGAACTACTATTTTGTTTGGAAAATGATGATGAAGAAGAGGAAAGATATTAGGTACCTTCCGTAGGAGGTGAAATGAATTGGCTTCACCATGCTTCCATGTCGTCAATATATCTATAAAATCCGTGCAATCCAAATAATCATTGTCTCGATCATTATTATTAGGAAATAACAATTTCCTTTTCGAATTACAATGATCTCTTTCGTTTTCTCATATTACGAACGTATTTAATCAGAACTTTCAAATGCACTCAGATTGACTGAGATATGAATTCCGTCCAAACCGTTTTTCAAAAAGCCAGATATGAAGGTGGAGCTGTGACGTATTAGTCCCGATAACTGTGAAGCTATATCTCTCTGATACCACAGTTTGATCTGATACCTTGCCATTCTGCAGTGTGATTGGTCAGCTCAAGGAAAATAGGCGTGTTGGGACTAATACGACATACCAGTCACACCATTTCAATTAATTTTTGTATCGTCCTAGTATAAATGAAAACATTCAACATTATATTTACTGGTAGTTTTTTGCTACAGAGCACATAATGATGTATTAAAAAATTTTGTGGTCTCCTCCATTGTCGATGGCATAATGCATATACCTTTTCCTCCAAATGACATTGAAAGTGGCTTCTTAATGTCACTTCACAGGTGCGAAAGGCGTACTTTTACTGCCTAGACAGAAGAAGTTTGTTGCTGTGCGACGTTCCAAGTAATAAATTGAATCAAATTTGTAATTGAAATTGACAATAACTTTGGATAAAAAAAAAATAGGGGATAATTTGAACTCTGCGTGAAATTGAAACGAATTTAGAGAGAACATTATATTATAGAAAAGAAGAAACAATGCCTTGGCTGGTTCCATAGCCTTGGCTACGTCTAGACTAGACTATGAAACGTCAGCCGCGGTATCAAATCTTGTTCTTTTCTGCCTAATTAAACAAAGAACTATTGTATTACGCATATTGATTGGGATCGAGAGATAGAACATCTGAAGCACTATGACTCTTCCGAATATGCTAATGCCAATATACATATACTGTACAGCTAACAAATCAACCTATTTTTTTTTCAGATGTCGTTCTCATAACATCCGATTTCTCCACGTTTGCTGGAGTCCTCTCAGGTATAGCAATTCTCTCTGGTCTAATATGCTTCGTGCTCCACTTGTTCAATCAGAATCTGTACGGCTCCAGACACCGTCGTCACAGATTCGGCAATGCCAATTTGGCACCCCCAATAATGTTCTCCAGCGATCCAGGTGAGACTTTTCTTAATATCAGCTCGATTTGTGACGTCTTTTCATGTTCTATGTCGCGTAAGCGGAATCACTGTGCAGAGTGGTGGGGGGTAGCTTAAGTGCCGCAATACCTACTGCTGCGAAAACTTCTGTTTTTGATTGATTGGTGTCTTTATATCGGAAAAATTATCCATTTTGTGCTATGTATGGATTGAGCGCCTACTCTTAACCCACAAAATGACGTTGTAGAGTGGTGAATGTCGCTTCATTTACTCTTTTATTACCACATGAATTTTTGAACATCAAGTATTATGTGTTCGCAATGTAATGAGGATGATAGTAGTGTCGTTGTATGTTGTAGGTGTTTATTATTTGTTAATGTTTTTCCAACATCTATGAAGTGACTTCTACATCTGATGATACTGGTCACATACAACCTTTCAGATGAAAAAGTAACATCAGTTAATTTTTGAGCAAGGAGAAGGGGAATATTTACCTATTAAGTATCCTAATCGTAGTACTGAAATAAACATATTTATTGAGGAAGAGAACAACTGCAGAGAAGTTTGTGGTCATTGGATGAGGAAAAATATAATTGAAAGCTTGATCAGTACGGAGATTGGAACATATAACCAATGATTATAGATTTTTAGATAAAAATCAAAGGGAGAGGGACCGACGTGGCTACGATACATCAATTACTATTCTGATACGTTTACAACCAAAGACACAAATCATTTTGCTGATTCGGTATTTATACCCTCTATTAGTAGGAGATATTTTGCCGTGGAGCTGAAGATTCTACTACAACTTTTGCAGTTGTATTCCAGTAAGAGTTGAATGTATTTCAGAATTTTGGTTACTTGTGTTTTCTTCATCTCTTGGAGCGCACGAAAGGAAATTCCTATAATGTTCGTAGAACATCGCGCATACCAAGCGAGCAGCGTTGGGTTTTTAGTAGCGATCATTCGTACTGAAATCTAGTACGCAATTGTAATAGATCGTACTAGATTAGACAAGTGATGAAAAAATTTAGAAATAATGGAAATTAAACTTATGGTATACCACCAGTTCCTTATAGATAAGCAAAGTTTTTAAAACAAACTGCTCATCCTGAAATGCAACTAAAAACATTCTGCTAACAACTTTCCTGCAATGCGAATGGAACACACCTACTTACTATTAAAGGAAAAGCAGACAGTCTCCTAAAAATTAGCAAAGCAATTTCCAAGAAGCCCAAACCTTCTTGTTAGGAAGAGCAGGCCACTATGCCCCACCATTCACCATTCACTGCTGTCTTTTCGCAGGGCTGCCTCTGCCGATGCTAGACCGGCAACACCGCGCGACGTCCAGAGCCTCCTTGACCCACCGCACGTACTCTGGTCGCGCCAGCAGCGCGCCTGGCTACCGCGCAAGCGCCTACCCCCTCCACCACCACTCGGCGCAAGCGTCACGCGCAGGTGCGGCTCGCCACGCCGCCATCTTGCTGCTCTCCTACTGTCGCGAAGCGCCGCTAGAGGCGGTAGCGATAGATCAGTTAGCCGGTACAGGCTTTGAGTATTCACACTAGTGTATATAATCAAGGATAATAGGGAGTTAAAGCCAATACAGAAACTTGTAATTACGTATGGGCGTAAACGTGAATAGAAATACGTACGTATTCAATGAAAAGTAGCTCTAAAGCTACCGTATGGTACGTACATACAAGATACAAGACCAGACTCATTTTAACCCTATTTTCCTTTTCCATTCGATTATTTTGATTTGTTAGTCTTCGCTTGCTTAGATATTGTTCCAGTGTTGTTGCTGCGAACCCTTCGTTGCAAAATGGAAGAGTTTTTGATATTCAAAGCTACAAATGATAGCGATGCTAGTAGTGACGATGACCTAGCTGATATGTTCATCCTTCATGTACTGAATGAGAACGACAATTTAGGTAATCGAAGGGAATTATATAGATATATCAATTTAAACAATTTATTCGAAATAGAATGTAAAAATCTATTTCGATTTGCGAAAAATGACATTCCAAGATTAGCTAGAGCCCTAGGAATACCAGGAAGCTATAAGTTTTCCAGTAATTTGGATGAGGTTCCAACGGCCCGTGTCTTCGTAGGGATTATGGCCTACAACTTCCCTTGCTAGAAGCAAATCATCTTTCAAGGAAAAGAGAATTCTTTTATTTGAATTATCCATGATTTCTTCGAAGCACAACACAAGAACCAAGCGCAATAACAAATAAATGTTATTTCATGTGATAAAAGTGAGGTTAAAGTGAATAGGTAACGCCTTCGGTTCAATACGATTTGTGTTTAGCGCCAGCATAGCAAGATGTAAACATACGTCAGACGTATCTCCTGGCGTAGGAAATTCGCATACTGCGCATGCTTAGATGTCAAATTCTACGTTACGCTTACGCATTCTGCATTGCTTTAACTCCCTAGTATCAAGTATATGCACGTAGAACGTATTATCTACGATAATGAAACATAAGCGTCTTTATGTGTGACGTCATCAAATATTTGCCTCGCGCCAGTTAGCGTTACGTCATTGACTTTGCTGGTGCTGCCGTTACTGGCAGTTGACATGTTTTGATAATAGTTTTTCTCAGTCTATTTGTAAAAGGTAAATTACTTGAAAATTTGTTCAAAATAGTAAGATATATTCATATAAAATATTTGTTTCTGTGCTGTTCCAGTGTTTACAAATATATCATGGAGAACGATTATGTAGGAATTGTTCATTATATGCAAGAAGATTTTGGTGTGTTTGCAATCATGGTTATATGGATAAGAAGGAGATGCGTCTCTGCCTTGATTCGCAACTTATTATTGTATAATATGAGAGAAGAACATGTTCGTTCCATTTATGAGGATGAGTGGGATCAGAGATACTTTGAATCAAGACTTTCTTTTCTCTTATTTCGGATGACAAAAGAGAAAGAGAGAAATAAAATATGCACCCACCTTTCTTACAAGTGTCAAACAATTTGAAAACATAGTCACTTATCCCCACTTCAATCCGCAAACATACCCGGTTTGCGGTCTCTGTACTAAGCGAAGTGTCGCTTAAAGCGTGACGTCATGACTTATTCGCTCAGATGTGGTCGCTTACAGCGCCTTAACGCGTCTAACTCACACAAATATGGCTTTAAATCCGCCCCTGTTTGACACCATGTATCTCAGAAAGGAAAAATGATAGAAACTTTTCACCTGAAAATGATATAAGCAATCCGTATACGTATTCGTCTCGGTCTCAAGGTTTCGATCTTTCTTACAACAGGTATATACGTTATCTGAATAGCGGAGGAGCTAAAACTTTCTCTTATCAAATATGTTTTCTCTTGTATAGCAAAAGGAATAGACAGAAAAATTACATAGTTTCTGGAACTTTTGACAAGGCAGCGGAGAAGCAAGATGGCGAGGTGAAGACAGTATTTTTAGCAGCATTTTCCTTCATTGATAATTGCATTTGTTTGATGACACTGATAAGTTGATTCTATCACAAGTAGGAATGTTAAAAATTGATTTGAGTAAATGAAACAGAAGCTCACACCTATGTATTATTCAACAGGATCACATGCATGTTACTGTTGTTGTTATTGTTTAGAAACTTGAAGGATTAATAGTAGCTTACTACGAGTAGATTATCTAATATTCACAAAATAGAAAAAAAACCTTGGAAAGGTATTATATGATTATGACTTATCGATAAAACACTTCCAAGATTTTTTATACGAGATTACTGTATAACTACTTACAGTGAATAGATAGATATCTGTATTTTTCTTTGATGATCAATTTTGCATGTGTGCATGACTTTTCAAATAATAATGGAAAAATATATTAATTCCAAAAGTGGGACGAGGATACATGCTTAGGGAAATTTTCGAAGAGCTGTGATACCAATTGAGATTAAGTTCCTAACGTGAACAAGGCCATGGTAGATATGTATAATTGGAAAATTAATGTTTCACACCTCTTCAATCATTTTCATTGATACAGATTACGATTTGTCTTATTGATGATGATAATTATTCTATTGCATTTTGGTTGTTGATGTCTATGAAATCTTTCTTTGTCCTTGCATATCTGTAATAAGTACCAGGACATAGAAAATAGAAAAAAAACTATGTTTTTGAAATATGTACTGGGTCACACGTTGAAGTATCACCCCTATAACTTCTTCATTCTCGACAGTAGAAAAAAAATGCTTCCAGGATATTTTTTTGCTTCTCGAATTAACAGATACATTTTCACTAACTGAAAATATATACAGGAATCAGTAAAATGTTTATACATTTTAAATTGAACACCCTATATATTTCCTCACAATGGAAATACCTTCTTAAGAGCTTCTGGAAAATACCATACCTATGAATTTCTCATAATGAATCAATAAAACTAACAGAATCGATTTCTTAATGATTTTCGAGAGTAGACCAATAATGATTACAATAATTGTATGTATCTTCAGTTATCACTGTCATTGAGAATCAAATATCACAGATAGCGATAAAACTAATATGGGTACCTGAATTTGCAGTCATTGTCATGACCTTCTCTCGACAATCGTTCAAAAATCGATCAAACGCTCTTTTAATTATTTAATAATAATAATAATAATAATAATAATAAGAGGTCTTTATTAGACGAAAGTTTAGTATAAAACTATTCTTACACTTTAACCTAACAATTATAGAAATGAACATAGATATCATTGTAGCATTCAACGTAATCAGAACTATACTCTGTATTGAAAACAAAGAAAAAAAATCAGAAGAAGACAAATTCTTGACGAATGTGAGAGATAGATATATTATGAGATATGGCTTTCTATTATGAGTTCAGGATGATCTTTTTGGCTAGAGGAGGGATATAGATTCATTGAGCTTTTCAAATTTTTACAATGAGTTGACGGTCAATTGTTTGGCTAGAAGGATTTTTTTTAAATTTGCCTTATATGGATTGGATGCCGATAAATTAAATAATTATATTGAGCGGGGTATGTTAGAAAAGCTCTTCGAAAGATCAAAGATCTTCTCATTGTCGAGGTAATATATAGGGTGTTCGAAAGGAAATCCCAATAATGTTCGAAGAACTTCGTGCGTATCTAAGGAGGATAGAGATAGGAGGTAGTTATTGGATTTTTTTCAATTCCGCAGATTTCAAGTTATTGGGATCACTTCCTCATGCAATTAAGTTCAGAATTTGAAATTCCTGGACTTTTTCTGCTCCCTTTAGGTATATTTTCTCAGAAAGTGGAAACGTATCTTTTGATTCAAGAAGTAGAAAAAATACCCTGTGACGATACTTTTTATATTTCTCTTCTACTGTCGAGAATAAGAGAGATGTAGAGGGTGATACTTCGAAACGTGCCACCCGCGGTACAGAGCTTAGATGTACAGGGTGTCCCCTTATAGGAATATTCACAATTCACCAAATTTGGCTAAGTCTATTGATATGATTTCCAAGAAGAACATAAAGTGAACATATACCTTGTATATTTCAATGAAAACGGAGAAAATTGAAGAACAATGGAGATTTTAGCATAGATTACCCTCCGTTCCTCTGGACAGGAAACCTCAACAAGCAAATGCACCAAGAAATTTTTCATAATCATCTTCTGGACTGGCTTTTCCAGCTTTGATGCAAATACCATCTGGACATCTAATAAGTTCATCCATAATATTTTTCTTTATATTTCCAGGATCAAGAAGGCCCAGCATAGCATCGGTCCATAGCATGACCTCAATAAAGAGTTACAGCGCAAGGAGGTACGAGCGAGAGAGGCAGCAAAAGGAGGAGAGAGAGATGGACAGGCGGTTCTCAAAGCTGTCCAGGAATAATTCGACTTCCCGGATTGTCCCTACTCCGAGTCCTCATTCGACTGACGATTTACTTCCCACACTGGAAGAAGATAAGCAGGTGAGATCAGAGAAAAATAGTAGATCAAAATACTAATATATAACACACTTTTACAGATATTCAAACTGAAAAGAAGTAAAAAATGAAATGATAAAAGTGTGCTGATGAATACACAACATACAAAATATTACCAACTTCGTAATTAGTATATTCTACCGGGTGTTTCGCAAAAGTGGCTTCCCCCTGTAAATTATTAGTTTATGCAGATAAACAAATGAAATTCGGTGTGTAAGTATAGTACATAAATATGCATTATTTGGCGTATTCAATTGTTTTCTGTCCCTTCCGGTTTAATCAGAAGTGACCCATATTATCTTATTTTGAATGGGACACGCTGTATATTTTCACATATTTCTGTAGAGCATAACATTCTGAGTACAATGACACCCCATTTGCCACTCTTTGACTTTTATCGTCATGAAATTTTCATTTTTCAATTTTCAATGTAGAGTGCCATGAATGAGTTGAAACAGTTGATTTTGAATCATGTTGCCTAGGAGAAATAATTCCGATGAATCTTCACGTTTCATTTGTTTTACAGGTTCATTCAAAATTCACCACATCGTAATTATTATGATGTCAATTTTCTCGAATAGAACAAGGGTGGCTCATTACCATATCTGGAAAGGATATTTTGTTTGAATCAATATCCAGTATCATGATCACAAGATCAAAAATTGAAAAATGAAAATTTCAGGATGATATTGAAAGTGGAAAATGGGGTGTCATTGTACTCACAATGTTATTCTCTATAGAAATATGTAAAAATATACCGGATGTCCCATTTGATATAAGAAAATTTGGGTCATTTCCAGTCAAACCGGAAGTGACAGAAAACAACTGAATACGTCAAATAATGCGTATTTATCCACTGTACTTACGTACACCAAATTCCATTTGTTTATTTATAGAACCAAAAAAGTTATAAGGGTGAGCTCCTTCTGTGAAACACCCGGTATGTTGTCTATTCACCACACTTCCAATATTTCATTTTCTACCTCTTTTTAGTTTGGCTATCTATGAAGGCGTGTTCTTTAATTTGGTAAACTACTATTCATTATTACTTTTTTTTCATATTTTCGTATATACCTACCCAGTTTCGACGAGAGAATGATGATCTCCTACCCCGAATACCCCAAGAAAAAAATTTTCAATAGAATCTGATCATGATTACAAACCCGTCTGCCATATTGGATCCGCCATTTTTAATTTCCTAATTCAGACGAAGGAAACATAATCTCCGACCCCGAAGACCTTCAGATACCAATTCTGAAAAGAATCGTATTATAATTACAAAACTCGTTCGCCATATTGGATCTGCCATATTAGATCCACCATATTGAATTTCATTATTCAGACGAAGGAATCATAATCTCCGATCCCGAAGACCTCCAGAGGCCAAATACCAATTCTGATTAGAATCGAATTATGCTTACAAAACTCGTTCGCAAAACTTGACGAAAGAATCATAATCTCCAACTTCAAGAATCCCCAGATACCAATTTTGAATGGAATCAGACAATAATTTTAAAACTCTTTCGCCATCTTGAATTCCCTAATTCAGACAAAGGAATCCTAATCTTTGATCCCGAAGACCTCTAGATACCAATTCTGAAAAGAATCGGAACATAATTACGAAACTCGTTCGCCATTTTGGATCCGTCATCCTGAATTCACCAACTTCAAAAGCATTGTCGTTCTAGATGACAACCTAGTTAGGTAGTTAGTAGGCAGGAGCTATACCTCCTCGCACTAGGTCGCCTACTAGGTTTTCATTCAGATCGACAATGTCAAAAGCCTCCAGATACAAATTTTGAATAGAATTGGATCCATTTTGGAGCCGACATTTTGTTTCTTTGTCTAACAAAAATTTCACGATGCTTTGTCACCAGATTTATGTACACCTACCAAATTTCAAATCAGAAGAAGTTTTCAAGTGGGTCAAAATCACTTTCGAAGATTCCGTTTTCGAAAAGAATTGTGTGTGTGTTAAAAAAGATTCCCTACATACAGGGTGAAATTTTTCAGCTTCTTTAGAGCATCCCCAAATCTGATTCGTATACACGCTATTAGGTCCAAATGAATTCATCGATTTATCGATTTGATGGAATACACAAATAGGTCACTCTGTGCCCTATGGTTGTATTTATATTGAAACTACAATTTGAACATCCTTGAAAATTTAATAAATCTGATCTGTGATTGTAGGTAGAATATTTTCACCACACGGATTATTGATTTGTTACATTGCATAAATATGGCACGGCATCCACGTTTCAGATTGAATTCGTGCGTAACAAAGTAAAGTAGTCTGAGGTGTTGCTTCTAGTTATTCATATTATAATAATCTCTCACGTGAGTCACATTGGTGGTAACTTCACTCATATTGATTTCAGTTGATTCTTTCGGTTGCAAAAAAATAGTATGTTCGATTCGGATCAAAAGTGACTTTGTTTGACTCGCAAATTTTGCTTTCTCTCGGCTTCGCTCACTTTTGATCCTAATAAAACAATTTGCTATCATACATACATCCAATATAGTAACGTTTTTAGGCATAATCATTGGTACCGAAGTACCTATAGTTGCCATCTTCTTGTGTGAACGCACACAATTTTGCATCTTACAATATATAAACTCATCTTATTGAATCTTCATATTTTGAACTTTCTTAAACATCCGTTGGATTGAACTCGTAATCAATTGAGAATCAAAATCAAAAATCACATTTGAGTAGTCACTTTTTGCAATATCGTAGATAAAAAAAAAACTATCCTACTACTATTACATACTATATACTATATTATTATAATATACATATGATATAGTATATTATACTATATACTATATACTATATATACTATATATGTATATTGGAAAATTTAATCGGAATGAATAACAAAACCTATTTTCATCGTTTGAAAGTTACCTTTCAAAGAAATTTTCATCAATGAAAGTATATTTGCCAACATTCTCATTTCGAATTCCAATTTTTTCCAGATTTCTTCCCGGATTGGTATATCGAATACCTCCTACACATAATCAGGTTTACGATCGATTTAATTTTTCTGTTTGATTTTTTGCGGTTGCTAACCGAATTCATAAACACGCTTGTATTCCTAACATCACAATGTACAGTCAGATGCAATGAAAATGTCGTACATGCACGGTGATCCAACCGCGACTTGCTTTTTTCTTCTGACTGTATTTTATGTCAATTTCTTCATGTACGTCAATCAATAACTGCAATTATGATAGAATGTGTGGAAAGTTATGTATATACATGGTGGCCATTTGAAAACGAAACAAAGCAAGAAACCCTCTACCAGGGTAGACTCACCCTCTAATTACGAAATAGCCACAATGCTCAAAGTGGAATGAAATGTTGAATAAATACAGGAAGCTCTAAGTCATTTCCACACAATGTTCATAAAATAAACAACAATGGTAGATTATATAATGCCGACGAATTTTTGTTTGGCTAGGTTACGCTTAGTCGGTGGTCTAAGGACTGCTTGCTGGAGACTGCCCTGCACTGATGAGAGTGAAAGAGCTCGAAACGGTCTGTAGGTGTCTAGCGTGGCCTGGCCAAATGGAAATCAATAGGCATAGGGGAAAAAATCACTTGTATCAGTATCGTTTATAAGAGTCGATGCATAGATTTCGGGAAGATGTAATTCAATGTTCTTGGTGGCATTAGCCAGGAAAGTAGTGGTATTTCTCCCGAAATTTACCATTGTTGTTCATTTTATGAACATTGTGTGGAAATGACTTTGAGTTTTTTGTATTTATTTATTATTCAACCCTAACAACACAGGGATGTCCTAGGTACGTCCCTTTTTTGTCCCACGGTACAAGGACATGATTGGGACATCCAGGGAATGTCCCGCAGTGGTTGTCCAGTGGACATCCCACCCGGTACATCCCTAGGTTATCCTATTCGTGTCCCTGGAATATCTGATATCCATTCACATCAGAGTCATTGAATTTCATCAAAGTATTAAGTTGCATTTTTTTGAAAATGTTTGTTTTTCTTCCGGAAAATAATCGTAATGAAAATAAAGAATAACATTTCAGAACTTCTTAAGAAATTACCATTTTTCGCAAACAGAAATCGTACATGCATAATGCCCCTCATTTTTAAACACCTAAGAATGATATAATAATCATACCCAAATTCTAACAAAGTTGTATTTATTCAGGTTTCTGTAGTTAAGTCCTATTTATAAATCTGTTTAGTACATAAATCTTCAGGAGGCTCGATAGCCAATGGAGTAAGATGCGTGCCTGATAAGCCAAAGGTCCCGGGTTCAATCCGTACTCGACCTACATTTTTTTCCTTTTGTCGAAGGGATATCCCTGGGATATCCTTGGGACGTCCTAGAGATATCCTTTCTTCGTACTTGGTACATCCCAGGGACGTACCAGAAGGACATCCCTAGGATGCCTCTTTTTGTGGAAAGCGGATGTCCCTGGGACGTCCCTAGTATGTACCATGTCCCGACACAGGATATCCCAGGGACGTCCTCGTAGAAAATGAAGGACGTCCCTGGGACGTCCCTGGAACGTACTCGTGTTGTTAGGGAACCCACTAATGTTAAGCAAAACAATTGTCGTGTGCAACATTGAATCCGTGGAAATACTGAGTAGTTTTCTCTAGATCTAGATTATAACCCCCTGAGTTTTATATCGTAACTATCTACGTAGCCCATAAACAGTGGCTCATCAAAAGTACAAAACCGCCTTAACATGATTTTCATATTTTAAAAACAAAATGTCGTTTCCAAGCGTTTTTTCGTAAATGACCTATTTAGTGCCCAAAATTGGCTGTTTCGTCTCCAAATTGCAACCCTGTTTACATGCAATGATTATGAATAGCTTATATTTCCTCATGTTTTATTCGAAATTCTAAAAAAAATCACGAAGGTTTCATCAACTTCGATCACATTTTAATGAAAAATCATCAAATCCATTGAATGAGAAAATCTTATTGTTTTGAGTATGTGAAACAATTGACATAATACTTTTTATCTAATTCACCATACTAATAACGCCCCATTGCGACATTCTGCTTGTTCGTAGGTATATTATGCTGCATTTAACGAGTTATATTTTTGTATATGTCCCAGATTGTGAGATTGAATCGACAGAAATAACTATTCAAATATCTTCTGGATTCCGTCCAGCCCAGAGAAATTCCGAAAGAATTCCTAATAAGTCGAAATTTTCCAAATCCAAAATGATAATAATTAGATGCTGAGATGCGTTTTTGTTGGACGGTCAGGTTCGCACCAGATAGCGGTCAAGAATACTATCTGGGACAGCCTTGTACTGATGAGAGCCAAGAATACCTGCATTCACGCGTTCCTGAACCAATTAGGCGCAGCTCGGCATTAAGGCAGGAAACACTCGCGATTTTATTCGTTTCAATGCTCTTTGTGGCATATAGCCAGGTAAAGTAGTTGTTTTTCTCTCGTTATCTACCATTTTCGCTCATTTTATGAACTATTGTGGTAATGACATTGAGTTTCTCTATATTTGAGCATTTGGCTCTTTCCTAGTTGATTATGATTTATTTTTAGACACCTGTGAATTATCGAAAAGATGCCACTTATCATGACACAAAGAAAACTGCTATCTATTTATTATCCATTTATCATCGGAGATGTTTTGTCTGTTTATCTGTGTTTTGCCTGTGTCATTGTCTATTGATGATATTTTTTATTCGATAACTGTATCATATTGAAATCCATAGTCTGGGGCATGTCAGGTATGGTACGGGATGGTAGCATCGTAGTAGGCATTGTAATATTTTTGTTTGTTTGCCGCCTCTCATTTTATGGATATCTACCTATACATAAGCATAGAGCGGCAAATAGAGACAATATCGCAAGGGTCACTATAAGATGTTCATTTCAATCATTTATAGAAACCCTGTATGTACAGGGTGGGCCTCTTAATATGGAATCCTTCTTCAACTATTTCGTTTTCAGAGATATGGAAAAATGTTAAATGAAAAATTTTGTGAGACGACCCAAACTTTTATTTCGAGAAGCTGTTTCATATACATGGTCATTCCAAAATAAAAATTTGGATCGTTCCAAAAACATTCTAAATCAACATTTTTCCACATCTCAGAGAACAGAAGAGTTGAGGGGGGTTCCATTTTAAGAGACGCACCCTGTACATACACACTCATAATAATATGATCGAAGGTATACACATCAAGTGAATGAAGACGATCTTGAGCTATATCTAAATCTAGTACAGATTTTCAGTTGGGTTGATTTTTTCATTTTCGAATTACCACTTTCACTAGAAGCAACCTATTGATTGTTAAAAATAATGTAGAGCCGATGGAAATCGGTACATATCTGCTCAATGTTTTTGATGTCCTCTTTTCACTTGTTGATAAAGCTTCTGTATATTTATCAGCTGATTACTTACGTTCATATCATTTATGAAGCTCGAGGCTGAAGTTTTATATAGGGTGTGTTAGAAATTACGTCTGAGCATTGATCTCTCTCGAATGCAAATGTGTTTTTTCTGTGACGAGAAAAAAGTTTGGAATTTCATGTCTGTTGACAGGTTATAAAATGTCACATTTCATTAATGACTTTTCTCCCACGTAAAAGAAGTGAGTACTTTTTCCCAGATATACAAGGTGATTCTGAAATAAGTGCACATATTCAGCACATCAATAATTCTTTTAATTACCGAGAAATTCCATCCCAAAAGTTTATCAAAATACTGGAAAAAATTCAAGAACGCCACTTTGAAACAATTTGAATGATTGTACTCCACCTGATTGTGCCTACCGCATGGAAATTTGAACAGAGGGGACGTCAGATTTGCTACAGTGTAGAACTTTGGGTGGGAAAAGGGGTCTAACCTCAAATTCTCTTTTGATCCCTTATTTTTTTTATTAGTGCTATCGATAGTACACGTCAAGCTCTCTCAGTGTTTGAAATATTTGCACTTATTTCAACGCCTCCCTGTATATCACATATATAAATACACTGTTGATGACGACTTCTTTTGTGCTATAGTTCCGTTAAATAAGCCAATGAAGGGGGATTTATGCACATTGCGTTTTCATTATTCTGTAATTTCACAATCATTTCGACGATTTCACTTATAAGTTTAAACTTTATATTTCCGTTCATTCATTTATGCACCTCAATAGAATTTCATCTTTCATCAACTATTCGCTGAAAGATGATCAACTTATATATCACTGTGACTTGTGCAGGCGCAACTCTGTCAGAAGTCAGACAAACAATTTCTTCCTCCTCTTTTTCCAAAATGAGGTTGGAAATTGTGAAAATTTTAGTCTAATGTTCAAATTAGACTTTGAAAACAATATGAAAGAATGATACTTATTTTAATTATTTTCATCGGGCTAAGTACGCTGTGGACTATGTTTTGATCAAGAAGAATAGATTAAAATTGAAAGAAGGTGGGTGCATAAAGGTATCATAGTCCTTAAATAAAAATAAACTGAATGACAGTTAATGAACGCAACAGATTAGTGAAAAAGGGTGTGAAAGAACTGATGCAAGTTCTTTTATCTTTCAATAGACGAAACAACCACCAAATTCGCAATTCTTGAAATTCAAATCACAGAATTAGGCTGTCAGATATTTGATAACTAACGCAGGTGTCATTCCTGTTAAAAGCTTCAAATTTCATAATTTCCTAATTTTGATATAATGTAATGTCTTCTCAATATTGATTCGTCCTTTTTTCTGTCACAGAAAAAAATAGAGCATTCAACACAAGCTGGAGCTACTTTTTTCCCATCTATAATAAATAACTATTTTGTTTTCAGCAATAACAATGACCTCATCAATTTTCCAGCTAACACCCTCTATGAAATAGAGTAGTCTAGAGACCAATTATATTCTCAGAATTGAATGGTTGATATTTTATGAGAAAAAAATGTATATGATTCAAATTAACCAGATCACCAACGTAATTTTAAATCTTCCATCGAACGTTATTGACTTTTCGAGATGCATCTCCTATAGATTCCACATACAGAGTGCTGGCATTATTCGGGCACTTGCAATGCCCACTTTTGTAGGCAATGTAAATTAATAATCGTTTTAATTTCCTCATTTATTCCAGAACCCAAAGTTCCATGATTTTTCATCATCATTATCAAGAAAAATTCAGGCTTGTTATAATTTTTTCAAAGATGTTTGTCTTCCTTATAGACATCTCTGTATTATCAAAAATTTGTCAAAGCTATCATCGTACCTATTTTTTCGATTTTTCTCCTAAAATATCACACAAAATGACAGCACAAGTTGAATTCGAAGCCCAACTTTCTGACAACAAAATCTCAGAACATTTTGACATCTTTTATAATTTGCAGATTCCTCCTTTAGCTACGAAAGAAGAATCTACCACTAGTTTTCACGAAGAGATGCCATCTACTTCGAAGCAGTATCCCTACGAAGTGATCTAGTTGAACTGAAACAATTTTTTTATTTATCGGTTTCGGCTTATTATGCCCAAGAGCAGTGTTGAGTGTTATTTGTATATTGAGTAGCTTCGAGTTAAAAACTACTTGAGCAAATTTTATGTGCGTTTAGTGTCACACCATGAAAATATTGAATAATAGACATCAGAAGTTGATTGAGTTTCATTTTCATCTGATCTACCAAGTTGAACTTTAGCTCCTAGGAACTAGAAAGGATTTACTAAGTCATCAAGAATAAACAATAACATTGTTATACTTCACATCTTGAACCTACCACCACTACAAATATATATTCAAGGCGAAGCCAGAGCAGTCGTGAGTAGATTGTCAAGGGGTCAAGCACCCATAAGCAACGCGCACGGTAAAGACTATAGGAAGCTATATGAAGAGTTGGAAAGCGACCCCATCATGGGGATGCCAACGGATGGCATAATTCCAAAATATAGCTTTGAAAAAACTTTTAGAATAAGTATAACGGACAGAGAGGCATGGAAGGAAGGACCTCCTATCAATGCAGACATTGCTGTCTATACGGACGGCTCCAAAACTGAGGAAGGATCAGGAGCTGGTATTTATGGGGCCAAGCCAAAGACAAGAATCTCACTGAGCTTAGGCAAATACGCGACGGTGTTTCAGGCAGAAATTATTGCAATACATCATTGCGTGAGAGAATTGATAAGGCAAGAGTTTAAAGGCAAAACCATTGCAATCTATTCAGATAGCCAGGCGGCAATCAAAGCAGTCAACTCTATGCAAGTTAACTAAAAACTAGTATGGGACTGCTTAGAAACCCTAAATGCACTGGGCAGTCAGAACAGATTGACTCTAGCATGGGTACCAGCACATACAGGGTACGAGGGCAATGAAGAGGCAGACTCACTTGCCCGAGCAGGAGCAAACAAAGCTCTTAATGGCCCAGAACCCTTCTGTGGTATTGCGAAAGCTATACAAGAGACTAGTATCAAATCATGGATGCAAACTAAATCTCAAGAATGGTGGAACAACTCGCCAGGAATGAGACAGTCAAAAGAGTTTATTAAAAAACCATCGCCAACATTCACAGAATATCTACTAAGCCAGAAACGAAGTTCAACTAGAATACTAGTGAGACTTCTCACAGGGCATTGTAGGCTCAACAAACACATGAGTACGATAGGTCTGACTGAACTGCTGTGCAGGTTCTGTCAAGAAGAGGAAGAAACAGCAGTACACATACTTTGCCACTGTGAGGGCTTGTCAAGACTAAGGTTCCTTACGCTGGGTGAGGAAAAACCAGGAGCCCAGAGATACACAGGAGATCTGAAAGCTAGCCTATGGCAAAGTTTACAGAATTAAAACTTTGCCTATGGAGTCTCATAGAGAAGGCGGGGCTAGCCGAAGAACTCTAATCCATTTTGAGGGCAGGCACAATAGATCTGAAAAGGTCGCAGTGTGGAGGCAGATAGCCCGAAGGCTCCATTCCAAATCTAATCTAATGTTTCATTCGGATGAAGAGTGACTTTGTTTGACTCGCAAACTTTGCTTTCGATCGGCTCGCAAATGCAAAGTTCGCTTGTCAAACAAAGTGCCACTTTTGATCCTAATAAAACAATCTACTATTTTTTTAATCAGCTATGTATTTCGAATAATACTAGGAATCATTTATCCCGAAGGTCACATGTGAATGAAGATGATTTCTTTGATAGAACACACTGTATACAGGGCAATATCGAAATGAATACATTAAATATAACCCTTAGAAGGCTGAAAGTGGAATAGCACCATTGAAAAATATATAGCGATCTAAAATATGATTTCCATCGAGGGCTAGTTTCTCCTGGAGGACAAGGCGAGGTTGCCACAGCTCATTAAAATGGTGAGAAAGCAAATAATAGTAGCAAGAAAGAAGATGTTTCTTATTAGAATCACGTTGAATAAGTTCTGAAATGGATCTTATCACTCATTCTCAGGAAGAAATAATTCGAGAAAACTTGAAATTCTGTGACGAAGTAATTGAGAAAATATAAAAACCGAATTTAGTACGGCATAAGTAGGTTGAAAATCATTGAAATGAGAAATAGGAATACCTATTAACTAGGTACTAAGAAGCAACTGCTATTATATATTGAAAAGGAATATTCTCAGATATATTATAAACATGAAAAAATGGATACATTTGAATAAATACATTGAGAATTCGCATTCTCTATGTGATGAAATTATTAATTCTTTCTCACAGTGTTTTGAAAAAAATCTTCAGATAACTGAAAAGATTTTATAACACACAAGTTCGAATGCTGAACAGTCACTATACTGGGTAATTCAAATTCGAGGGCCACCATTGTCGAGGAAATGTTGAAATTCCGAGTGTTTCCAGAGAAAAAACTGAAATTTTGGTCATTCAGTTAAATTTTTCTTTGGCGTTGGAGAATATGAACATTGAAAGCACATTTACATTGCTACTTTTTTGCTGTTGTACGATGACATTTTCAGATCTACTATCCCATGTTTCGTCTTTACCCCACCATGATCAACTTTATTTTTCCTTATAGGCGCCCATATTGGATAATCATTGATAATAGTAATATCATGGTGAATCTGCGGATATCAGGAAGAAAGTGGCAATGTGAATGTGTAACTGATATTATTCAACGAATGAGGCCAGAAAAAAGTAAAAATGATTTGAGGTAGACAGACATATTGATATAGCCAAATGTGGAGTGAAAACTTGAGGATCTGAAGTCTCCCTTATTTTCACACCCTAATACTGTTTAGTTTAGTTTAAGCTTGAAAAAGCAATTGAACAAGCCAGTACACATCAAATACAGTTTGAAATACAAATATATAACAACCCAGCGAGCACAAAAACATCTCAGAGATGTTAAAAGTACGAGATTTCGAGACATTGAACCTCCACTGCGATGTTCTGTTCACACATGAATAGCACAGCCAATGTCCGCCGCAGGCGGCAATTATCAAGATGCCCTTGATATGTCACAAAACTACCTTCTCCCTAGTTCTTTTTAAAGCCTCTTCATGGACACAACAGAACATTTTCGACGCGTCTTGCCCACATTAAATCGCTGTAAAAAAACATTTTCGAGGTACCTACTGAAGCCTTTTGTCAAAATGAACTTTCGCATTAGAATTCCATTTCCCTTGAATGAAAAAATGCATTAAAAATAGATTGAACATAAAAATATTTCCTTGATATTGTTAGAAACTGGATATTACACCGCACCACCCTATACATCGATACCTTCTGATTCTATTAGTAAGACATGACTCAGATGGTTACGTTACATGATGAATAAGAGGACAGTCGTTGGAGAATATAGATTATTAATCGTTTATCTTTTGTAGAGCACACATCGTGAATATAAATTGTTAGAATTTGAATAGTGTTTCAATAACCATAGTCCAATATCTCAGAAGTGTGGATAAAGAACTGCTTAAGGAGTGAAAAAAAAAACATAGTGAAACTGTGTTGTTGTGTAGTGTGTAGTTGCCAAAATGCCGAGAAATAAACGAATACGAAGCCCTAGTTCATCGAGTTCTTGTGGTTCAACGAGAGGTTCTAGTGCAAGTTCCACAACTTCTAATTCAAGCCAGACTACAGGGAGACGTCGGAAACGGCAAGAAAAGAAAATGTCAAGAAAGAAGAGAAGTTCGAAACGGTCGAGACATTCACGGTGATCCAAAAGAGTAAGATTGTCTGACAAACAGCTCATCGAAATAGGAGTGAGTACTGCATTGAATTCTTTTCGTGAAAGAAATAATAGCAATATTCTCGCAAAAGTTATACCTGATTTTGACCCAAAAAAAGAAAATGTTCATGAATGGTTGAATATTATCGATGAACATGCCAAATGCTATGATTGGGATGAAAATACAGTGAAATTCCAAGCACTCAACAAACTCAAAGGTACCGCTGAGAAATGGTACCACAGTTATATTAAAGATGAAATCGGGTGGGCTAATTATTCATGGGCAAAATGGAAGAGACTATTGGGAGAAGTTTTCCAGGCAGATCGTAATACTTACGCCCTTTTCATGGATGTGGCCAATCATAAACCACGACGTGGGGAGTCCTTATATTCTTTCCATTTTGACCATCTGGCAAAAATAAATAAGCTCAAATTAAATTTTTCCGAAACCGACAAAATTTCTCTTATCTTGGGCTCAATTAATAATGAAACTGTATCATCCGCAGTAAATGCGAGTGGTATAAATAAACTGAATTCATTAGCTAATTATTTAAAGGATCGAGCACATGATAATAGTAGCACCAGTACCTCGACCAGTACTATTACGAATACCAAATCGCATTTCCATAATACTACGAGGGATGCGAAATTTCAAAATCAATTCCAAACTCAAACAAAAATTGAATGTCACACATGCGGTAAAACGGGGCATATAAAAAAAAACTGTAGCTTCAGAAATATCGCGAAAGAACAAACTTGTAAATACTGTAACAAGCCAGGACATTTTGAAGCTGCCTGTTTTCAGAAGAAAAAAAAGAACCAACAGCAAAAAGAATTCAAGGGAGAAGTTCAGTCAAAATTTGAGGTCAAGTTAATATCAACTGGAAAGAAAAGCAAATTCTTCAGGAATATTTCAATCAATAACAAAGAAGTGTCAGCTTTTATTGATTTCGGAAGTGATTGTTCTGTGTTAGAAAGACAGACTGTTGAGCGTCTGGGCCTACATACTTTTGATTTAGATCGTCCTATTTCTCTAGCCGGATTTTTAGGACATGGCATAGACATTCAGCAATTTGTCGAAGCCACCATAGATATCGGTGAAGTATGTCTTTCCTGTAAGCTTTATGTAATTGATGAATATTTGGAATCCAGTGAATGCATCATCGGTAGAAATTTCACAGAACATAAGGAAATCAATTATTGTAGGATTGGTGATGAATTGACTTTTTTTTATGCAAACCAAGGAGTGAATAAAATAAATGAGATAATTGAATTCAATGAAGACACGGCAATTCTAAATCTTTTATATGAGTATCGTAGTATTCTTTCAGTTTCTTGTAATAATTTGAGCAAAATGAATTGCGAACCTATGAGAATAATTTTAACAACAGATAAGCCTATTTCTCGAAATCCATATAGGATGGCCGAAACAGAAAGACTGAAATTGAATGAAAT